CTTCCCATTGAGCCCTGAGCTGGCAGCGGGCGCTGGGTTACCCTGGCCTGCGATCGCCGGGAGATTGCTGGCCCCGCCGCCTCCTCCCCGGTGACCCCGGCTCCGCGGGGGCGGGGCCAGTGGGACAGGTGCCGTGAACGGGCAGAGGCGCTGGGAACCGAGCACGGGCGGGTGTTTCCTGCACGGCCTTTGCGGAAGCAGAATGGAGTCGCTGGGGTGCATGGATGACAGTTACATTCAGGGGCGCCGAGACCACTGACCAGCTATCCGGCCTCCTCGCCATGTGTCTGTAGGAGTGGAATACAGTCTTAGGGGAAAGTGCATTTTTGTGTTACTTTCTACCATTTTGGTTTTATTTGCTGCTGTAAAACTTGATTGCTTGGTACAGGATTTTAATTGTTTGTTTTATGTGGCTGTTTAAGTCATACACATCAGCTAGATCCAGAGGGATTCTAGCCCTGTGTTAGACACGGTGATGTGGTGTCGCATATGGAAATACATGCACAACTTAAAGACATTTGGATTCATACTGTTTAGAAACATTTCAAACCAAACAAGAAATGAGAGGCCGCCGGGCTGGTGTGGCTCAATCTATGAGCCAGGATGTGGTGTCACATATGGAAATACATGCACAACTTAAAGACATTTGGATTCATCCTGTTTAGAAACATTTCAAATCAAACAAGAAATCTGAGGCCGCCCCACTGGTGTAGCTCAATCTATGAGCCAGGAGGTCAGGGCACAGGCCCGGGTTGTGGGCTCCATCCCCTTGGGGGGCGTGCAGGAGGCAGCCGATCGATGATGTTCCTCTCTCATCATGGATGTTTCTCTCTATTCCTCTCTCTTCTACTCTCTCTAAAAAATCATTAAAATATTTTTTTTAAAAAAAGAGAGAGAGGAGTGTGAGGCTGCCAGTATCCAGTCTTTGTAGAAAGAGTGGAAGCTATTGAAGATTTTTGAGGGGGTAGTTACCTGCTAGACGTTGTTCTAGAATGCCTGTGGATAATTCTTTGCGGCTGCTTGGCTGTAGAGTTTTATTATTTCTGTTTCAGCTGCTTTCTACACTGCCTGGTGATGTTCAGTCCGGGCCTGATTTTTATGGACTGCCATGGAAGCCTGTACTTATCACGGCCTTCTTGGGAATTCTTTCATTTGTCATTTTCTTCTGGAGAACCATCCTTGCTGTGAGTAAATTAGATTAACTTACCTCTTGCCTCATAGGTACAAGGAATATTTTATAGTCACTGGCCCTTTTGTTTCTCTTTCACTTCCTACCATGAACACAAATCAATGCATGTAATCTACACTACCGTTGTAAAGTAACCCAGTGTAGTCTTCATTGGTGTTGGCTGTCTTTTTTATTTTTTATTGATTTCAGAGAGGAAGGGAGAGGGAGAGAGAGAGATAGAAACATGGATAATGACAGAGAATCATTGATTGGCTGCCTCCTGCACACTCCCTACTGGGGATTGAGCCCGCAACCTGGGCATGTGCCCTTGGTCGGAATCGAACCTGGGACCTTTCAGTTCGCAGGCCAACGCTCTATCCACTGAACCAAACCGGCTAGGGCTTAGCTGTCTTTTTGTTTGTGCATTTTCCTGCACTAGTTTCCTTTCCCTTTCAGGATTATGACCACTATCCTCAGGGGGTTGGGAAAATCTGAATGATCTCGAGCTAATTTATTAGACTTCTAAATTCAGCCAATAGTCAACTTTAAATAGAATTCCCAAGGTGTTTTCTGGTGAGAGGAAGAGGCATGTCTTAGCACAAAGACAATGCCTTTAATTTTGTCTTTTTCAACAGTCATTGTTTCTAGACCTCATTCTGGCAATTTGGGGTTGTCAAGTTATTTCGGGTAAATGAAGCATTAGCATATTCAATATGAAAATATTATCCATTTTCATTTTTTAAAGTTAGGTGCTTAGCTAATAAGATTGGTGCTCATTCCATAGATATGTAAATGTACCTTTGGTTGCAAAATGAGGTGTTTGCCTTATTGCTTTTATCTATCAAACTATTGATGAAGTATCACTACCAATTACATTTGAAATGCTTTGTAACCTTTTTCTAACCCTATGGCTCATTGGGCTGAACCAACTGTTACTAAATTTCCTTGTAGTTACGATTTGACTATTATATTAGAACTGTATTATTTTTAATAATGAAATCAAATTTAATTTTATTTCTTTCTCTTTTAGGTAAAGAGCCATGTGTACCAAGGTAAATATTTAGGCTGGCTTTGTTATTGTGCTGTGTCCTCATTATTGGTGTCTGGTAAGGGTTTTACAAGCTAGAAGTAGATATAGTGACATCTGATATATGACTGACTTATTAACTCCTGAAGGTTTCACTAATGCTGGGTTGTGGTTTGGGTGATAGAGTAGATAGATGGTGATGCTACCCACTGACATAGGGGATGAGGTGGAACAGACTCGCAGTAGGAAGAAGATGATTGGTTTAATTTGGGGCAGATTGACTTTAAATATTGATGGAATGCAAATTTATTACATGTGAACAGTGTTCCTGGGCTAATGTTATAATCAATACAGTATGTAAATATATTTAAGTAGATAATTTGAGGAATAAGAGATGCAAATCAATATGCTATACTTTGGTCTGTTCCTCTTTGCAAGTTATTTATAGTTGAAATGACCACAGTTTCTGCAAAGAAAGAGGTTTCCCTAAGGGAAGGATATAGAGCTAAAATATTTCACTGTATTTCCTAGCTCTGAAATAATTTTTATTGGAAACTCATCGAAGTAAAGGTTCTTACTATATTTTTCTTAAATTTTAATATTTTACACTTTATTTCTCTGCTTTTTAAAGGCTGATAATTATGCTAAGAAGTTCTTTTCCTTCATAGTGCAGGATAAGATGTCTTTGTTGCTAATAGATTGGGTAATTCAGTTTTATTTAAAAGTCATAATTCCATTATGGATTCACCCCCCCCTTTTATTTTTAGTCACTGAACAACAAATTTCTGAGAAGCTGAAGATGCTCAAGAAAGAAAACGCAGATCTTGTACAAAAATTGTCAAATTATGAGCAGAAGGTATAATTCTTTTAGTTTTTTTCCCCATGGTTCCAGCTTGATTGGCTCCTCCTATCTTATAGTTATTATGCTATTTTTAAATCATATTTTTAAATTCCATTATTCTCTACAAACCATTCAAATTTGAAGCAACTATCATGTGTGTAAAATGCTACTCTTTTTTCTAAAGGGGCCACATGGTGGAGGTAAGTTTGATAGCACTCTAATTCATATTTTTATATTCTGAATGCTTTATCTAAATAGGTCAAGGAATCAAAGAAGCATGTTCAAGAAACCAAGAAACAAAATATGATTCTCTCTGATGAAGCCACTAAATTCAAGGTAAAAATCCCTGATCATTTGAGTTTACATTTCAAAGAACAAAAGGAAAATAACAAGTAATTATTATTAATCTTCATATCGTTTTCTATAGCATAGAATCAAGGA